AATAAAAATAAACGAAATTAAAAAACAAGACAAAAGAATGCCCAGACAGAGACGATGCCATTCTTTTCCTCACTGCAAAGTTGGGGATAGTACAGAACAGAGATTCAATCCCCTGGTCTAGGTACATCATTAATTATCAAAGGCAGAATGTTCATCTTCCCAGTCCCTTTCTCTTCAGCACTGTGTACCTTGTTTATTACCTTATAAGCACTTTACATTAGTATTATTGTCCTATGATCATATGTGAATTTCCGAATATAATTAGAATGTCAGAGTCTCCTGCATTGGCTTATGCAGTCTCTTCTACCATTGCTTTCTTGGCCAATTAAAATCCTTTTAAATCATCCTTCCAGATCAGTCTAAATGCTACGGTCTTCAACAAGTTCATCTCAGCACTTTCCATCTATTTGCCTCCCATTTGTAGGAATTTTTTCTTTCTCTGCACCAAGAGCATGTTAACTGTGCACATGGCATTTAGACTTATTGAATCCTATCTATCCAATTGCTGAATTTGCATATGTGTTTAGAGGTAGGAACTGTGTTTTCCATCTTTGAATCACTACCTCTAGCTCTCCTATCTATGGTAGTATGCAATCAACAACTGTTGAACAGATTTTAACTTATTCCACAACACTGGGTAGAGGAGGTGCAGTGTTCTTGATCATCTCTGAACTAAACCCACCCGTAAGTAGACAATTAAATTACTTGGAAGGGCAAGGGAGAAAGGAACACAGAAAATGAAACTGGCAACAAGTATACAATAATCTGATTACTTCACATTTGATACAAGATAAATGGAGGAAGTGTTAGTTTTGTTCTGAGGGGCAAGTGTCATACCAAAGAGATTAAATGACTAGATCTGGAGTGACTTTGGGCTGGGGAGACAGCCTTTCTAAATCTCGGTTCTCTAATTTGTTCTAATAATTAGAATAGAAAATACCTGACTTTTAATCAAAAGTTTTGACTGTTAATAGTCATTGGTGTAATCTTACTGCACAGGTGACTGTGGGTAAGAGTCTTAGCTTTTCTGTGCCTGCTGCCTGAAGTCTAATCTCCTCATAAAGATTCTAGTACTAATTTTGAAAGACACCGCTTGCAACGGGCACACAATATGTACTTGATGAATGATTCTTGCTTCCTTTTGCTCTCGTCTCAACTGAATATCCCTCAATTACTATTTTAAACAGAGAGCAAACCGGATATCTTAGTTAGAATCTGCCCTTTAAAAAATAGCAACATTTTACCTTGCACAAGATTTGCAGCCCAAGTTTCAACTTCTTACTTCGTTAGATTTTTTTCCCCCTGATTCTCAGTTTGTTTGTTTCATAATGACAGCTTAACTGGTTGTATTCTAGAAAAAAGAAAAATATTGATTCTGTAACACTGTTTCAGTGGCCAAGGAATGTATATACCAATGTAACTTGACTATATTACAGTTTGAAATATGGACATTTTAGCCACAATGTGTCCACTCATGCAGTCAGTCTGTAACCTTCTTTCAGGAAGAATCCAATTTTATTTTTAGTAATGCTCTTCCAAGGACTAAACAGTGAAGTTCACAGACAATTCATTACATGAAGACACAATCTAATATGCTCACTTTCTTTGAGAAGTATTAGCAGCAATTTTTTAAAAAAGGATGATAAGAGTTCAATTTCAAGCAAGACTGTTTTACAAATTTTTTAAATCTTTGTGACTTGCTTTTTGATGGGTGATAGGCGTCCCTTCATATGTGGAATTCAAAGATAAAACAATTGAAGTTTGGTACATCATAAAGGTAATGAACAGAATGGACATGTGTTTCCTCACCAAATCTCAGAGTATTTGAAAGTTGAAGCCGGGCTCGATGGCTCAGCCTGTAATCCCGCGCCTTTGGGAGGCTGAGGTGAGTGGATGGCCTGAACTCGTGGGTTCGAGACCCACCTGGGCAGCGAGACCTCATCTCTACAATAAATCAAAAAATCAGCAGGGCGTGGTAGCGCATGCCTATAATTCCAGCTACTCGGAAGGCTGAGGCGGAAGGATCGCCGGAGCCCAGCAGGTCGAGGCTGCACTCCAGTCTGGGCGACAGAGTGAGACTCCAACTAAAAAAAAAAAAAAAAAGTTTATACAAGTTTATGGATTCCTAAGATGTTTGTAATACACATCAATGAGGACTGAGGCACATATCTGACCTTTTGAAGTCAGTACAAGGATAAATTCTGTTCTCCCACAAAACATTACAGAATGTCCTTGTCAAAGTTAAAAATGTCCAGGGTAGTCCATCTATCTCTGAAAAAAAATCTCCTTTTCAAAATAGAAATGAAATCATTTAAAAAATTAAAAACAATGATTTTTTTTTTTTCCAACTGGTCTCTTACATGTATAGCTTGCAAGTCTTAAGGGAAGGAACTCAAACTCTGAATTGTAGCAGACTATTACCGGCGGCGTATTGAACGAATGAATGCAGAGAGGAAATGAAGGGAAATGGGGGGATAGGAAAGCAAGGCGATCCTCTAGATGAATGTGTAATATTCTAGATCATAAATCTTAACCAGTGACAGCAGCTTCAATTCAGATATGAGTGCAGAATGAGTGCAGATAAGGTAATGAGGGAAATCTTTTGCCAACATTTTTTCAGGTGAGAAAACTAGGACTCAGAGAGGTTAAAAAGCTGACTCAATTTTACTAATATGTTGCAAGACCTACTTCCAAATCCTGTGCTTTTCATCACCATCCTATGCAACCTCCAGATAACAAATATAAATGAATGGGCCTCCGTTTATTGAGTTTTACTACGTGGCAGGGAGTGTACTGGGGGCTTTAGATACATCGTTTGTTTAATTCTAACAAAAAATTACATGAAGTATGTAATTTGGATGGGGAATTGATGCTTTGTTGCCATTTGCTTTCACTCTTTGTTTATTGTTAATTTATTTAACTTGCTTATTTTATTTATTTTGTTTGCTTTATTTACCTTTGCCTTTATTCATGTTTTCTTTGTCTACCCCTTGGTTGTATGTGCTGTCTTCACATAAAGCCAACATGGCATGGCAAATCTAGTCGCTATTAATACTGATGGTATTGTCCTGGCTGCAGATTACAGGAGCTGCTAGAATAGAATAGCCATTATACCCCACATCTTAAAAAAAAAAAAAAGAATAGCCAGTAGGCTTATCTTCTGGATCTGAGACTGTTTGCTATGCTCAGTGGATACCGCCTGTCTCCTGTTTCTCTAAAGAAAATATTAAATTACTCTAAAACTCTGGATTTTAAAAAGTTGGAAAGGCTATATGAAACATGACCTTGATTTGGTGGTTACATCTAGTACATGCAAAGGGCTGCTTAATTATGAAATAATTCCAAAGAGCCAGTTGGGCCATTTTCCCTGCAAGGAAACTTCAAATAAGTGTCAAAAAGTCATCAATTATTGAATGGGAATTCCATGAGTTCAGCTGTGTGTGTGGCATTCTTTAAGGATTAATATTTTTTAAAAAAATCTCTTAGATGCACTGGGCTTTGAAGGTCTTCATTTACTTTCTTTTTAGTTTACTAAGACCCTGCGTCTTTTGGGTTCATTCTCAAGTTTTCTGTGCTATGTTTTTCTTTGTAGCATTATCATCAATCCATTCAGACCAAGGCATGAGGCCTATGTTTACAAAATCTTAATGTCTTCTTCTGGGCTCCCAATCTTCCTTTCTGATCTTCATACCTGCTGTTACAGAAAGAGTTCAGCTCTTTCAACAATAGAGTCCCAAGCAAACATCTGTCTTCCCTCAGAAGTGTTTCTTCATGGGCCAAATAGCTGAGAAGCCATTTAAATACCAAGGTTGCTTCCCGGGACAGAGCATAAAGCCAGAATCAAATCTGTAGTCTGTTCACATTCTCAAACAAACAGGGTTACCCTCTGAGGAGAGGATAGTGCCTTGTAAAAATTGCATTTAAGAAGTAATTGCATAGCTGGGCACGGTAGCTCAAGCCTATAATCCCAACACTTTGGGTGACTGAGGAGAGAGGATTGCCCACGCCCGGGGGGTTCAAGACCATCCTTGGTAACATGGTGAGACCTCATCTCTACAATTAAAAAAAAAATTACCTGGGTGTGGTAGTGCATGCCTGTAGTTCCAGCTGCTTGGAAGGCTGAGGCAGAAGAATCACCTGAGCCTAGCAGGTTGGGGCTTTGGTGGCAGTGAGCATGCTACTGCACTCGTCTGGGTGACAGAGTGAGACTCCAATTCAAAAAAAAAAAAAAAGAAGTAATTGGCACTTGTGAATCCAAAACAGGCTAATCAACAAACTGACATTAAATTTTTCATAGGCTTTAGATGATTGTTATTATAATGAACATTAAAAGACAAATTACATCTGTCAGTCTATTTAAAACAATGTTACTATCCAAATGGATTTACAAATATTAAATGTATCTTTCCATAAAGCATCAATAATAGATTCTGTTTCTGAACTTTTTGAAGGTTTGTGATGCTGAAGAAGTGGTCATTAATGTTCCTGGCCTTCACCCAGATTTGAGCCAAGAAAAGTTGGCTGCTTTATAAACAAAAGTCCCGATAACAGTCTTTCCGAAATCATAAATTCTAACATGAATCATTCTGTATTGTCTGATATCATTTCTAAATATAAGATGCAATTAATTATCTAAATCCTCACATGTTTCAAGACTTGTGCCCTTTGTTTTTCAATGTGTAAAAATAAAACAAAAAGTTTCTAAATCTATGGCACAAAGTAACATGATAAAAACCTCTTTGTTTTAGAAAATTACATGTCAGTACTAGGTAATCTATAATACCAATTAACCAACAACAGTAATTATACGTTTTTAAAAGCTAGCAAATTTGTTGTTCCTTCTTAGAGATGTTTTCTTTCAGTATTCTTTTGAGATTTTTTTCCCTCCTTACCTCATTTTACAAGGCCTACATTTTTAAGGGTATGAAACAGTTTATAACAATAGATGTTTTAGGAATTGACAAACGGTTAAGTCCTAGGTGGAATGGCAGAATAGCTCCTCAAGGAGGAAATGGACTTTATTTATTCTTGGTGAGTTGCAAATGCACAAAAATAAAGGACTTGCTAGTTGCCAGTGGGAAGTGAACATAATTATGACTTCACAGCTGCTTTTCCTGAAGAAAAAGGAGAGAAAAAAGGAAGAGTCATGCTTTTTTTTGGTACTTTATCTAAAAAGGATATGCACAAAGGGAATAGATTTATGCCAGCTATAAGGAGCCATAATCAAAGAAATACTGTACTACCAAACTTATGCCAAGAAATTCAGAAATCTTGACTTGGCAGACTGTACATCAGAGGTATGCATCTATGGTACTCTCGTGAGAGCAATGTATGGGAAATTGAGGTCCTCAAATATGTTCCCACTAGCTTGTTTCCCCTGATACAAGTGGAATGGTCTTTCAGCAAAATTGTCATCATCTACTTTACTGGTTTGACATTTGCAAAGCAGCTTTGCTCAGATAATTCAAAACTTGATGATTCTAACTCCAAAGTGTGTGGTCTCAAGGAAAAAACTTGGGAAGGTTTTGCTTGGGACCTTGGAATTAAACTTTATAAGTGCTGTGATATAGACAAGGAAACTATTTACACCTGCCAGGGCTGATATATTGTTTAATCTAGAACAGTTGTTGACAACTTTTTCTGTAAATGTTTAGTTTGTAAATATTTCAGACTTTGTAGGCCATACAGTCTCTGTTCCAACTACTCAGCTCTGCCATTGTAGTACAAAACCAGTCATAGACAATATGTAAATGAACAAGCAAGACTATTCTAAAAAAACTTTATTTGTAAAAGCAGGCAGCAGTTGAATTTAGTCCTAAGTCATAGCTTGCAGATCCCGATCTAGAATGTTACAGTAAGAAAGCTGGGATTGCAATAGTCAAATGTTTACATACATCTTTATCAAAACAGTGGTCTGTATTCGGTGTCACCGGAGCTTTTAAAGACAATTTCAAAATATAGGTATTTTTCTCATGATGTTTTGTCAATTAGCAGTAAAGAGATGGGCACCATTATAGAGCAGTTTCTTATCAAAAGCACTGCAAAACTAGTTCGGCTACTTGCTTCCTTACAAAATCATCGTATCAAGAAACTGCATACAGGAACTTTATATTGAACACAAAGCTCCAAATATTTTTATCTTTATTGATCCCTAGCAGAGGTAACAAATAGAAAGAAAAGATGAGCAGTCAACCTGATTTCAATATAGATATTTTGTGGTAGCGAGAAAAGAGATGCCGGTTGAATCAGAATTAATTGTAAACCTGCTTGCAGAAACCTCATGAAAAAAATAATCTCTTTAGTCTGGCTCCTACAGTCACAGGCTACCTCAATCTTCTGAAGAAATGTTAAATTACCTGAGTGATAACTGTAGGTGAGTCCAGGGTGATGCCTTTCCCTGGGTCTTCCAGTAATCTGCCATTGACCTCTATATGCCACTTAACTTCTATTTGATCTATTTCCCAATTTAAAAAATAAAGGAGAATAGAGAGATATCTGTAAAGTGGTTTAAAAGCCCAAGTGAAAGGCCACCTGAAACACAGGATGGCTGGGTTTCAGAGTCAGGAGGACAGTTTGGCTATTGAGAATACATTTTACATTGTGTAACGGACACAATAGTATTCTTATGAATGCCGTGTTACTCAGCAGTATTCCAGAAGGTCAGATAGATAAGAAGGACATGAAAGTTGAGTATTTAAGTTAAACCTTTTAATTAAAATAGATATGAGACAAATAAATACTACAAGAAAGGGATTGGCAGTGGTGGGAAACTGCTAGGGAATGGGGGAGCACACGTCTTCAAGAAGCGTACCTGATCTCAAACCAGGTGAAGTAGAGACCAAAGTGAGGCCCAAACTTTACCTGTACAATGACCATTTGTATACCTAACCCTAATTGTACCCCACATCTTTAAAATAAAAATGTTTTTAAAATAAAATAAAATAGATGTGAGAAAAATGTATAGAAGAAATGTGTTTTAAACTGGAAGTTATTTTGTGATGTCAGCATAGGTACACAGACATAAATTCACCTAAACATTTTTCTAAGGCTCTTTTATATATAATCAATATATGCAGTTTTTACTTTTTAAAGGTGTGTTAGTTACTTTTATCCTTACTCTATTTTCCTTTATATTGTTCTCTTTCTACTATTATGAGACCTAAACTTGAACATTTTTAGTAATCCAAATAATGCTATAAAACTCATATCACAGAAGCAGCCTAAGGTGATAGAATTGTACCGAACTCAGGATCAGAATATGGGTATGGAGTCTTTGTTTTCTCTTACTTTTAGTTCCTCCATGAGGAAGGGTAACCATAAGAAACTTGCAATTCATTTAGCAAATTCAATGAGATATTGAACGATAATGTGCTTAGCAGTTATAGACACTCAGTAGTTAAGACTTGCATTTGAGTTTGAATGAAGGATGTTGATTGAAATCCTCAGACTGGATTAATTTTTGAGGAAAGAGAAAAGGTACAAATACAAGCAGAGACCTACAAAAACACAAAAGGAATTTATTTATAAAAAATTATATATGTACTCTTGCTTAAACCTCAGTCACTTTCTTTCTTTCTTTCTTTCTTTTTTGAGTTGGAATCTCACTCTGTCGCCCAGGCTGGAATGCAATGGCATGCTCATGGCCACTCCAGCGTTGACCTGCTGGACTCAGGTGATCCTTCTCCTCAGCCTTCCAAGTCGCTGTCATTTTTTATTTATTGTAGAGACAAGGTCTCACCAAATTGCCTGGGCTGGTCTTGAATTCCATGGACTTAGGCAATCCACTCGCCTCATCCTCCCAAAGTGCTGGGATGACAGGCTGAGCCACTGAGCCTGGGCTTACCTCAGTCACTTTCAATGTCCTCTTCACTGGATGCAATACACCCTATCAAGATGCTTTTTCCATTATTCAGAACAGTTTTTGAAGCCATCAGTTTTGATGCCTTTTAGTGCTTCTACCTTTTCTTGGCTTCACCTTTTCCACATCAGCAAAACATTTCTTTTTTCAGACTTTTCAGACTTTTTTCATCTAGGGAAACAAAAAACCAAAAAAAGTCGCTTGGGGCTGATCGGGTGAATAGGGAGGGTGGGGCATGGATGTCATACTGTTTTTTGGTCAAAAACTGCTGAACACCTAGTGCGGTGTGGGCAGGTGTTCTCGTAAATCACCCATCATGAAATGGGCAAAAGCGCTGAAAGAATCTTCTCCAAAAAATTTTCACTGAAACTGAAAACAGCCTCTCGCAACAATGCTAGCTGGAACACTGATGTTGATGTGTTCCTGGAATACTTACCTAGCGGGGAGGCCTGTACTTATGTTTTAGAGGCCTGCCCTCCAAAATATTATTCTACTTCTCCCCCCACCCCACCCTCGTAATTGCAGTTTTCTTAAGAAAGGAAGCACTGGCATGATAATTTTCGTTGTCTTAACGTTCTCATTGCAAGGTATCCTGCCCCATCCCAAAATGCCAGTAGCAACCAGCCATGGTCATGGTAAAAACTGAGAATATTATTTCATGTTTCTAAATACAGTTGGCCCTCTGTATCCCTTGGTTCCCTATGGCAGATTCAAACAACCGTGGATTGAAAATATTCCCTCCCCCCCAAAAAATTGTGTCTGTATGAACGAGTACAGACTTTTTTCCCCCTTATCATTATTCCCTAAACAACACAGTACTGACAAATATCTACATAGTATTCATATTGCATTAGGTATCATAAGTAATCTAGAGATGATATATTTAAAGTATACAGGAGGATGTGTGTAGGTTATATGCAAATACTATGCCATTTTATGTAAGGGACTGGATTATCCCCAGATTTTGGTTTCTAAGGGAAATCCTGAAACCAATCCCTCATGATACCAAGGAACTACTGGACCACTAGAGGATTGGCACCAAACCTGAAGATAATATTAAGCATGTTTGTATCTAAAGGGCAATGGATTATTTGGGCATGTAAAAAAAAAAATTACCAGACCGAACTTTGTGGCTCAGCGTGTAATCCCAGTACTTTGGAAGGCTGAGGCAAGTGGATTTAAGACCAGCCCGGGCAACTTGGTGAGACCTCTTCTCTACAGTACATCAAAAATTAGCTGGGCATGGTAGTGCGCACCTGTAGTTCCAGCTACTTGGAAGGCTGAGGCAGAAGGATTGCCAGAGCCCAGTAAGTTGATGCTGGGGTGGTGGTGAATGTGCCATTGCACTACAGCTTGGGCGACAGAGTGAGACTCCAACTCAAAAACAAAAAATAAAATATATCAGCAATAACTAGAACTCCACTCCTCCATGACCTGGGACCTACTCAGAGACTCGGGCGCAGGCAAGAATAGAAATCTTACAACCTGGTGTGGTGTCTCGTGCCTACAATCCTAGCACTTTGGGAGGCTGAGGTAGGAGGATTGTTTGAGGCCAGGAGATCACGACCAGCCCGGGCAACATAGCGAGAACTTGTCTCTACAAAAAAAAAAGAAAAGAAAAATTGGCTGCACATGGTTGCACGAGCCTGTAATCCTAGCTCCTTGGGAGACTGGAGTAAAAGAGTGGAAGAATCACCTGAGTCCAGGAGGTTGAGGCTGCAGTGAGCCGTGCATGTGTGCAGTCAGCCTGGGCAACACAGTGAGACTCCCACTCACAAAAAAGAAAGAAAGGAGGAGGAGGAGAAAGAGAAGAGAAATTTTGCAAATTAATTACTCAAAAACAACTGTAACGATCAAAAACATCCACACCCCTTCCTCCCCAACCCAGCCCCATTCACCAATGTAGAGCCATAGCAAAATGGTCATATATCGCTGCACCTAGCCAATGACAGAGCCTCAAGGGGAGTCTGGCAGTCTAGGGCAGTCAGGGATGGTGACAGTCCATCAGAATGAAAAGGCCTGTCATTTGCTGGTTGACTTTAGGTGAGGTTCTATACAAATGTACGAAGTTGGTTATGGGGCAGAGGAAAAAGGAAGTTCCTTTGCTCCATGCTTAGGGAGGTGTGTTGCTTATCAAAGGAGAGGAAGATAGGAGGAAAGACTCAGACTTGGGAGATTTTGGAGATTATTGAATGGGATGATACTTGTACAACAGTAAGAGAAGTATTGAGTTTTGGTTCCTATTTAATAGATGGTAAAATTAAGATAATTTTAGTGCTCACACTGCTTCAGGGTAGACACAGGGAAAGCTTTGACTTAAAACATGTATGAATAAATTTACCTCTCACCTGATTATTTTGATTCTACTATGAATAAGCTGAGAATTGCTCCTGAAGGTCTAGATAGGAGGCCTTGAAACAGGAATGCTGGATTGATTGGTCTGGGGAAACATACTCCAACTGCCTGCTCTAACAGCACTCAGCCCTTGGGGTCTTAGTGCTTGCAATGTTATTGTCCAAAGGATTTTTATATAGTTGGTTCTACTCTTCACAACAGATCCATCATTCTGGTATTATCATTGTCTCCATTTTCACATGAAGACATGGAACTTGGAAAGTCAATTCCCTTCCTTAAAATCACATAGTCAATAAGAAAAACGATCCTGGAGTCAGAGTCAGCCTACTCAGGGCTCCATCGTATCTGATCTGGTCAGAGTGTTAGGGCAGGAGAGAAGAGGAACAACCCATGTGAGAGCAGAGGGGAGTGATTCCAAGACAGAGCGAATGGCACCCATGACACTTACTAGGAAACTGAATGTAGATGCCTTGAGAAGCCCCCAGTTTCTAGATTGTATATACGCCCAAACCCAGCGGATATCTGTTTTGTGTAATGAAAACTCTTTATTCTCCAGAAAGGGAATATGAGTCTGTCTCATCCACAATAAGACAAATTAAATCACCAGGCTCGGTGGCTCAGCCTGTAATCCCGTGCCTTTGGGAGGCTGAGGGGAGTGGATTGCCTGAGCCCGCGGGTTCGAGACCCGCCTGGGCAATTTGGTGAGACCTCATCTCTATAATAAATAAAAAATTAGCCAGGGGTGGTAGCGCGCGCCTGTAGTTCCAGCTACTTGGAAGGCTGAGGCGGAAGGATCACCGGAGCCCAGCAGGTCGAGGCTGCGGTGGCCGGGAGCGGCCTCTGCACTCCAGTCTGGGCGAGAGTGAGACTCCAACTCAAAAAAAAAAACAACAACAAAAAACAAATCAGCAGATGAGAAGATCATCTGCATGGCTTTTTAAGGAATCTTCTCCACCTCACCCCCCTCACCCCCTCTGTCATTATCTAGCCTACAAGAGCAGACTTTGAAAGGAAGATCTGACTGTTTCCTGGTGGTCATGAATTTCCCCTTGACTCACAGTCACACAAAAGAAATTTGAACCCCTAGTCACCAGGAAACAGGAAGTCGCCCCCATGGTCTTTTGATTTTTTGTTTCTCCAAGGAGGCCCACTTATATTTGTTTTGCTACTTCAGGCCATTAAACCCATTTTGCTCCTTTATAGAACTGCTAAACATAGATGTTGAAATGAAGAAATACAGCCTAAATAAAGTCTCCAATAACGGCTTGCAGGAAGTATTAAAAACAGCTCTGCAGAAGGTTAGGAGCCAATGCCTTTTCCACTGTGAGCTTTAAAGGTGCTCTCTTTGATCAGCTACAAGGTTACTTCACCACAGGTATGAAATTAGAAATTTTGAGGACTATTGAGCGTGATTTTCACAGTGGATCTGCTAGAGGTTATTAAGCACAGAAAATGCCGAAGACATAACGTACTGAGAAGACAGAGGGTGTTCGTGGGTGCTCCAGTCTCTAGCAGCCCTGTTTGTGACATCCATCACTGACTCCTGGTTAGGTGGGCTGTGCCTGGGTCACTAAGAGGAAGGACCTACAGAAAAGCTTTGAACTTGGAGATTGACTGAGCCAAGTAGGCCAAACAGACCAAAACCTCAGAAGCAGAATTTTTTTTTTCCCCCCAGGGCAGGTGAGGATGGTCCTGACCTTGTCAAATAGTGTGTCAGTCAGGTCTTTGAGGAGGCAGTAGAGCATGGTGGGTAAGCCCAAGAGTTCTGGAGATAAATAGAACTGAGTTTGATTACTGACTCTGCATGGACTCATTGTGTGACCACTGGAAAAATCACTTGATTGCACTAAGGAACAGTTTCCTAGTCTGTAAACTGGAATTAATATTAGAACTTCTGGTCGAGGATTGCTGTGAAGACTATTACTACAATATCTGGCCCCTAGTGAGGGCCTATTCTTGCAAGTCATTATTATTGAGTAACTTTCTATTTGCTGTTTGGAGCACAAGATCAAATATAGAAGTGAAAGCATGTGGTTTGCTCCCAGGATGCATATCGTCTAGCTGGACTGACAAAAAAGTGTATGCACAGAAAAATTAATATAAAGGAGGCTATAACAAAATGATAATTGTGCCGCATGGATAGAAAGCATTTTATTCATGTATGTTCTGATTCATAAAATGCACATTGAACTCTTTGTGTGTCGAAGCACTGTGATAAACACAGCTTAACCCTCATAGTTATTACATGAAAAGTACTATTACTATCCTTGATTTTACTTATGGAAAAACTGAGACATAGACACAAAAAGGAACATAATCAAGGTCTCACAAGTAGTTAGTAGCAAGATGGAGATTTGAACCCAGACCTGCCTGACCTCAGTTTATGATTTTTGTAGAGCTGTTGTTAAGAGCATAGGGTCTAGAGCTAGAGAGCCTGGTTTCAGATCTTGACTGTGCTAATCATTAGTTCTATGACTTGGGTGAGTAAGTTAAATTATCTGGATAAGAGTTTCCTCATCTGTTAAAGTGAAGATAAAACATCGGTATCTGTTTTACACGTTTTTTGTGAGGCTTAAATGTGTTAATATATTTTAAAACATATTCCAGTGCCTGGCATGCTATCAGCACTGCAAATATAAACACTTATTATTATAATAGTGAATGTTATCATTATTACTATCTTAACTAAGTTATGGCATTTAAAATGTTGAGAATATTGGTACCTAATAGGCACTCAATAATTAATAATTATTATAATAATAATTATTATTATAAAGGAGGGTAGTCAGGGCAGGCCATTTTATATCAGGGACTTGAGTATCTGCTGATTTTCCTATCTGTGGAGGGTCCTGATTTATAGTAGAATCAAAATTAATAACAATAATTATTGTTACATAATGAGTTGTACTGCACTTGAATAGTTTATCCATCCTCAATCAAAATTGTTATTTCTTGCCCCTAAACTTCCAAACTCTTTCACCCTGTCAATGGTATCACAATAGCCCCTATAATACTATTTGAAAAATTAGTGTCTTTACTAACTTCAGTAGGGTAACCACAAAAATCCTAGGATTCGAACAGGTCTTGGTTTAATTCTAATTCATGGTGCTATTATGAGAATTAAGGCATGATTACATGTAAACCACTCTAGGAAACAGTATGTACTCAGTAAATACTGGTTCTTTTTGGTATAATCAGTTCATCTACTCTCTTTTAATATGTCACAGTTTGTAAGTTCTATCACTTTTCCTTTAAAACAATTCTCATATTAATACTTCTTTCTACAAACCTTCTAGCTGGAATCTTTGGGCTCTAGGCTTTTTATTTTTTAAAAAGGTTTTATTCATCCTGCATACCATTGCTGGTACCTTTAACAATTTGGTTAGATTAAAAAAACACCCATGGTTTCCTGTTTCCCACCAGGTCAGACATTTCTGCCTGATGGCCAACTCTATCTTGTTGGACCTCTTTTGCTGCTCATAGAGTGTCTCTTCTAGTCAAAGTAGTCTCTAATTATCTACAAAGACTCCTATTTCATGTTGTCTTTGAACTGTGTTCAAATACTTTCTCATTCTTCACCTGGGAGCCTTCTGTTTCACTCTCTGCCAACTCAAATCTGCCTATTCTTTAAGGCTACGATCATGTACCACCTCTCACTTAGCCTGTTTAATTAACTCCCCTCCATCAACCTTCCCCTTCTCTAAAGCCCCCTATAACCCTTGCATCTTCTATGCCTCACCCAGGAAATGATACAGGGGTACATGATAAAGAGGTTAAGTATGTGCCTCTTGAGTCATGTTACCTCAGTCCATACTTGACTCCGCTTCATCCTAGCCATGGGACCATGGGTCTCAGTGTCCTCATCTGTAAAGTGGAGCTAACAAGAGCATCTCTTTCATTGTACTATTGGTGAGGCTTCAATGACGTAAACCATGCAAAGCACTTAGCATAGGCATTGATGTGCAATAATTATTCAATGCATGTTAGTTGCTATGATGAATACTCATCAAGTATTTGTTGAATAACTTAAAGTATTTATTTCTACTCAGCTTATAATTTCCATGTTTAGAGACACAAAATATATTGTACAATATATGTGATAATCCCAAAAGGCTGTATATTTGAATTTACCTCTAGAACATTGTCAGAGTCTTTTGATATCACACAACACACAGTCTGATGGTTGAAATGCTGTCCTCATCATATTCTGGGTTTCTCCCTCTTCCACTCATTCTTGTTGCTGACTGCCCCTTACTAGCAAGAGGGTGATGGAAGATTTCAGGGCATGGCAAATAAAATGCCCAAAGACAAATGCAGCGCTTCCCGTGTTATACTGGGTATAGAGAATGCTTTGGGGGAACTCTAAGAAGCTTGAAGTCATTTTCCCTTTAGAAATCATCAATAGGTCAGTGATTTATAATTCAGAAGAACAATAGACAGAATCGTTTCTCTCCCTGCCCGTGTCAGCGACGACTGTCTTGCGAGGCTTCTAATGTAGTCAGAGTTTCAAAGAGGTTAACAACCCTTTTCCCCTAACTGCCTGCCAAGCTTTATCCTAGAGGCACTTCTGCTCTTCTCTGATTCTTTTTTGGTTTAAAAAATTATTTTTTTTCCCATCATTCTCATTTCTCCTCACCAATCCTCCCTTTATTTCTTTTTCTCTTTAGTGGTCTGGCTTTGTTGCTGACCCCACTGTACCCTCTCAAGGGCACTTAGCAGAGCTGTTGTCTCAGGTTCGAGTTTTCTTCCCCATCCTCTGACCAGTAATAGAACAAAGGACAAAAGGCCATCTCTCCAAGTAACCATATCTCTTTATTGAAGCTTTGTTCTGCTGCTTTGAGCCTCTTCCCTCTGATTCACTGGTCTTGTATTTGAGCAACTTTCCCATCTCTCTCCTTTCTATTGCCTCCCACCTTCTAGAATGACTAGGTTAGACTTACGGTTTCTGGTTTCTCATTTCCAAGAAATTCCTCAACACACTCCTGAGACGTGCGGGAACTAGGAGAAGATGGAAACGTCAAACGAATGCCAGTCTTCGTTGCTAGGCTCCCTGCTCAGGCCTGACAGCCGGAGTCCCGGGTCCTTAGTTTCCCCTTCTACACCACCTCCAAGATTGGCCTGTAGAGCTATTAGGACTAGACTAGCTGGAGGAGGGCCTGGGACTCCCAAAGGACCTGGCTTCTTTATAGGCATCACTCCTCAACACCCCTGCAGTGCCCTGATGGGATCTGGAAGCAGTTTGGGAGGGTGGTGGACAGGGACCCACCCACATTCAGGTCTGTACCGTATTATCATGTAAGGGATTCCTTGTGGCTCCATCATTCTGTTTCTACTTCTCATTGCTTTGTTCGTCTTATAACAACTCTAGCCCTGGCCCATCACACACTTTTTCCTCTCTAGTTTTTTTTTTGAGTTGGAGTCTCACTCAATCGCCCACACTGGAATGCAGTGGCCGCTCCCGGCCACCGCAGCCTCAACCTGTTGGGCTCTGGCAATCCTTCCGCCTCAGCCTTCCAAGTAGCTGGAACTACACGTGTGCGCTACCACGCCCGGCTAATTTTTGTTTTTATTGCAGAGATGAGGTCTCGCCAAGTTGCCCAGGCGGGTTTCCAACTCGCGGGCTCAGGCAATCCACTCACCTCAGCCTCCCAAAGCGTGGGATTACAGGCTGAGCCACCGAGCCCGACTTCCTCTCCAGTTTTTACTGCCAACTACTTTAATTCAAGTCCTCATTATTTCTTGGCTGAAATGGTCTACTCATACTTGTATCTGTTTTCTAGGGTTGCTGTATTAAGAGTAAACCACAAGTTGTGTGGCTTAAAACAACAGAAAATTATTCTCTCACAGTTCTAGAGGCTAGAAGTCAGAAAAGGTGTTGACAGGGCCATGCTTATTCTCAAGGCTCAAGAGGGGGGAATCTGTTCCATGCCTTTCTCTTAGCACTGGTGTTGGCAGCAATCTTTGACATTCCTTGGTTTGTAGCTGCATAATTCCTGTCTCTGCTCTGTTGTTGCATGGATTCTTCTCCCTGTGTCTCTGTCTTCCCTTTTTCTTATAAGAACAACAGTCATATTGGATTAGGGCTCACCCTAATGACCTCATCTTAACTGGATTACATATGCACAGACCCTATTTCCAAATAAGTTCACGGTTGTCAAAGCTTCAACATGTCTTCTAATTCAACCCATAACAGTACTAGTGTTTCCTCTAATCTATCTTCTTTGTGCCATCCAGTTAGCGTTCTACAATACTTATCAGATTCTTTACACTTGAATTTTAAAAACATTTTTCTACTCTTCATTTATATTAGACAAAAATCTTTAGAATTGCATTTCAGACCCCTTTTCATTTTACGAAATTCCCACATTCCATTCCAGCCTGTTCTGTCACCTTCTTTCCCTCATGGGTCCTTTAGGGTATGACTGCTCACTTTGTTAGAACATTCAAGACCTTGTATATTTCCTTGCTTTTTTTTCACCTAAGCCCCACATTTAGTTAATTGCCATTTGGTAACTAATGCTGCAATTTTTTTTTCTTGTATTCTTCATAAATTCTAGAAACTTGATAATTACTTGTCAATATAAATATCTTGTTCAGATGCTTATAGCATAGCAGCTAAGGAAGCAGATTTTGAACCTGCCTGCGTCCATTATATGATTTTTTAGTCCTTTATTTAACCTTGCTATGCTTTCAATGTCTTCATCTGTTAGATGGGAACATGAATTCCTTATTTATAGTGTTCTTGTGAAAATAAAATTAGAAACTTCCTTAAAGCAGTGACTAATATATAAAATAAATGGTTATTATTTACTTGCCTTTCTATCTTTATGACTACCATAAGCGTAATTATAGTTTTCTAATAGTAGTCCTAATACTTACAACTTTTGTTATATATCTTTATACCTTACTATTATTATTATTAGTTGTCACTTGTTGAACCAGAAGTACATACTGTGTGCCTCTGAGGTTTAATAAATAACTCCCTTTTCCCACTGGAGATCAGAACCAAAAATACATACAGGGATTAATAGAACAAAGTTGCCATTTAAACTTTATTTCTGATAAAATTGTTAGAGAACATGACATAGATGTTTGGCAAGAAAGGACTTCCTAATATTCCAGCCCAGAACTGAACTCTTCCATCCAGTCCCAGACACAGCTTAGAAAATGGGCTTCTCTTCCACATCTAAAGGAGAAAAGCCATGCATACCTATTTCCTTCTACATTCTCCTGCCAGTTAAACCACTTTTCCCTGCCTCCTTGCTCTACCTCCACACCTTTCCTAAAGAGTAACATTGAAGAGAGAAGTCCAGAGAGCTATTCCACATGGAAGGATGAGGAAACAAATCTTTCAAACAAATCTATGACACATACAGTTTTCATTCTCATTCTAAAGACGAAGAATCTGAGGCTCTGAGAAGTGAACTCACGTACCTAATGTCACACAACAGTAAGTAGACATGGCATAACTTGAATCCAGGTCTGTCTCCTGCCAAAGTCCTCTGTAATATGTCACACTCTACCCTCTACCAACAAAAACAAAGCCGATTCATTATCCATTATATTCATACCCATGTTTGAAAGGATTTCATTAATTTTGATTTTTAAATTCAGATTTTTATAATGACAGCCAAAAAAAAAGAGTATTACTTAAAAATGATTACCTGTGGGTCACACATAGTGCCTTTATTAGGTACACGGGAATGAGCACAAAGGTATGTGACAGACCGCAAGTGACATACGATGTGATCCTTCTAGCTTGCATCTCATCATAGTAAATTCATAAAACCCTTGGCCTTTTGTGGTTAAGGGACATGTTTTTCTCCCGAATTTTCTTTCATCATCTTATTTTGTATTACAGTATTTATTGGTCGTCATTGTGTTTCATAAAGTTCTCTATTCTGTATTCTGTGACAGTTTGTAAGGAATAAGTTTCTTGAGCAACATCCTCTGCCTTCGTCATTTTCTCGGTTCTTATTTAAGAACAAAGTACCCATTACTATGTTTCTTATCCTAGTTGTTTCTTTTCCAGATTCTAGCTGTTTTGGGGTCTATTAGTTACCTGTACCCCAAGAATAACTTCTGACACCTTGCCCTACACTTTCAGGCCCACTTCCCCTGATATTTTCTTTACATTTTCTCTTGTAGCTAAACTGTTAAGTTACATGAGATTAGGGTTTTATTTGTCTTTTTCACCACCATGTCTCTTGTACCTAAATCTGGCATAAATTATTTTCAAAAAATATGAGTTGAATGAAGGTAAAAAGAGTATGGATGATGAAATTATATATTGGCTATTTTGTAATATTAGAATAATTTCCAGCCTGAAAAAAAATCTTGTTGTTCAGTCTCTTAAAAGCAATTGTCATTTTGTATCACATGATTGAGTCCTCTCTCAGTTTGTCTAGCCATGGGTTTTTCTCTTTCCCTTTATAATTAATATCCTACAGGCTACAAATACATTTTATGTCATCATCCTCAATTACAATTGAGAAGATATTATTTTATTGTTTCTCTCTACCAACCCCCAAATTAAAGCATTGAATTCATTTTACAGCCCAAGTGAGCCCTACCGGACAGAGGTAGATAAAGTTGGTCTTGAAGTGTGGCATTGAGTCTAGAAATAATAGTTGTAACTTGCTGTGTTCAACAATGCTGCTTGGTAACTGTTCTTTCTGAATGGGAAATTAATGATCGCTACCCACATTACACCGGCTGGTATGACTAAAAAACATTCTATGTATAACATTAGAAACAGGCTTAGAATGTGTCCTTATAGGACTACAGACTTTCATTCACGGTTCCATTCAAGCATCCGGCATAGAGTGCATTCTCAATAAGCTGTACATCTTTATCATAATTCTGAAAACAACTTCATAACAACAGTAATAATGAATAATGTTGACTCTCCTCCTAAATAAGTCTGTGTGCCTTCTGAGTCTCTGAATAACAAATTTTGCATAACCATGTGAGCAGTACAAAAAGTTAGATCCTTAGGGGGAAAAAAGCTGCATTCACGTTGAAAATAAGATTCAGTATCTAATTTCATCAGCATTTAACACGGGACTCATTTTGGTTTTCCCAAAGAAAGAGGAGGCAGGAACTGAAAATTTGATCTTAACCATCTCTCTCTTTCTCTTTCTTTCTCCTTTGATGTACATTAGTTCCCATGGAAACTACATTGCGATGGCTTGAGAGTGACATCTACAAATGTAGTGTAAGGTCATTTTTATCTAATGCTTTGAAATTTAAACCATGATTTGTGATATATAGTGAAACTCTCTTAGCATATTCTGAAGGACTATGAAAAGACAATATTCTGAATGCAAAAACAAGACACGTGACTGCACGATGCCAGGTCTCAGAAAGTTCAGCATTGTTCTGTGCGTAGGGAAACAGAAAGAGCTTCATTCCCCCAGTCTTCCTCCAGGAGAGTCCTGGCAACGTAACTGGCCTCCTTAACACAGAGGGGAGAAAAGCCCCTCCTTCTGCCTCTTTCCTTGCTGGTAGCCAGCGAGGTCACCAGATAAAGACAAGTGTTCAAGGTTTTCAATGCTGCCACAAGTAACTGCATGTGGGCTGTGATAAAGCCTCAGGGGTTTTCTTGCTACCAAGGTTTCTACTATGGCCCTTGGCTTGCCCTTCTCGGGGCACTGATGTGATTTCTTGTATTAATTTGCCAATGCTTCTCCTATAATTTCCAGGTGCATTTAAAGGAAGATGTGTTTCTAAAGAGATAGA